CCAAGGTCATGTTGCAGCATTTTGTTATAAACACTAACGACTATGATATAAAAAGTGACATTGGTATGGGGTGGTATCTGGAAGTATGAATGGGGGTCTTGTGGTTAGCAGATGTTTCCTCCAATCTAACAAACTCTTGGCCAAATTATTCGAAAGACTGAGTAAAAACCGAACACATCATGTTAGTTAAACATCCTGCGTCCTCCTGGCTTGGTATATTTATGTTTTCGAGAAGTGGGGGCAATTTCTGTCTAAGATGAGGTCACCTGACTCAGATCTTGAAGCTTATTAACTGTAACTAGGTGTCAGCTTGTATTACATCGGAACACATGTAACTGTGCGAGACACAGGGTAATATAACATTACGGTGACGAAACAAAGAGTTGAGATGAGGCTAGACTAACATATTTTGCAGAATAAAACTGTTCATAAAAGATAAGCATAAAATATAATGAAAAAAAGCCCAGAGACTCTTCATTTTCAAATTCGACGTGTAACTATAGAAATCTAGACGTGCCACATATTCTAGACTTGCATGGGATTTCTTGAGGCGTTTTACACGGTACTGAGTGTAACAATTCTTTCATGTTTTCAAACGACTTGTGAATCATACTAATGTGAGACTTGACTACTGAAAAATGTTGAAGACACAGACATGTCATAATGATTAATATCACGTAATACTGCTAAACTGTCAATGACATGACATGTGGGCTGCTAAACGATAGAAAAACGTATAAGAAACATACAGACCCAATTTGTTTACAAACAACATCATACAGCTGAAATACTCCTGAAATAAATATATGATCATGATATAGTCACAATTGTACAATCGACTCTTATCGATATCTTCTGAACGTGGAAAGGGTTTTGTCGCTTTTATTTTGATCAAATGAATACATGTACAAATAGTTATGCTTAAAAATGACATCTTATAACCCATGCTCAAGTAACAATTTAACTGATATGCAAATTAAAGTTACTAATTGTAGAGACAGAGAAGAGACCGTGTCGTCTGCTCACTTGGGGATGCATGTCGTGTGCAAGCACATCTGGATTTAATCGGAAGTGTAATCATTGTGAGACCAAGAACGTACTGGAAAATCGGATATCGTGGAAAATCCACTTACTCAAATTGTTAACCAATAGCCTACAATAGTCTGTCTCACAGTCCCTGAATCTTCACTGCTGCCTAGCCCTCCCTGCAATGCTAAAGCCCTAAATGAAGCAAGTCTAGATCTGAATTTCTGGTCTCCCTGGGATCCTTTTCAATTTAAATGGGTTTATCTGTTACTATCAAAATTATATTCAGAAACTAAGCGTTAGTCTAAGCCTGTTACTTTGGCCACGTGACATACTGAAGGACAAGTACGACGACACCGACACTGATTATTCAGGGTGGTATCTGCCGTGTTACTCATGGCTTGTTCAGCCCGGATGTTAGCAGGAGTAGTGGCCTTGACCTCTGTCTTCAGGTTCAGCATCTCGTGCTCTCTTTCCTCTACCTTACAGATCAGTGAATGATCAGAAGTCATGCTGTTGTTGCTGTTGTCAATGTAGTTGTTGTTGTTCCATATCGCATCTGTAAATGCCCAATACACCTCGATAAAGTATCTGTATCCGTCGCATCCCTTGAATGAAGCGGCCCGGAGAGCGGAAGGTCGTGGGTTCGATCCCCGACCGCGTCATACCAAAGACGTTAAAATATGGTACTTGTTGGTCCCTGCCTGGCGCTCGGCATTAATGGGTACAACAAGGACTGGTCGGCTCGGAGTCAGTATAATGTGTCTGAGTGGGGTATTCATGCTTCACTGCGGCATGGTATCTCAGTGGGCTAGCACTATAAAACCAGCTTAAGTCTGGGCTAGTACAAGCAGCCGCACATACACATACACACGCATGCACGTCGTCGTATTCATATGAGTGAAATATTCTCAAGCACGACGTAAAACCCAATTTCACCTCACCTCACCTTGAATGAGAGCGACAGTACAAAAGAATAGCGAGTCTTGGACGAATGGGGAAAAGAAGTCATCATATTCTAAAGTATGGAAGGATCAGATTAAGGCACGGAGCAGAGCTGATGAGTCTACCTGTCTTTACTCGGCACTAGTATTATGAAAATGATATCACCTATCACAGAGGTTTATAACAAACGAGCGGGCCTTTTGTCGGGGAATACATTGACAGTGTATCAAACCGAGTCAATATTACGTAATATTTGTCCATAATCAAGGAATGACAATACCTTCTATTTCGGAAACAGTCAACTATATGACGGCCAATAAACCAGTGCTAAGAAAATATTGCATTGCAACTTAAACAATATCATTGCAGAGACCTTAACTTGGTTTGGTTTATGCTTAACGCCGCACTCACCAATATTCCAGCTATATTGCGGCGGTCTGTAAATAATCGGGTCTGGACCAGACAATCCAGTGATCAACAACCTTAACTTAGAGATAACGTCATCAAGTCTTTCATTTGATTTTCGGTCACTGAAGGCATACACTTTCGTCACGTTTACCTAATCAAGCACTAAAAGATTTATCTGTTTCACCAAATAACTATTTTCTGTGTAAATTTACAGTGTCTGTCACAGTCCATTAGCCCGCAGGTCTGTTCAGACTAGATTGTCGATATTTCACGGGAATACAATATGTGGCGGAAACCTATTTACTGTCATGGTAATCATCAGTGATGACATGTAATATTTTATACTGCTACTTTGTCTTCTTATCTTTGTTATACGATGATGTAGTTTATAGAATATTGACATGCTTCGTCATTGAATGCTTGCACGATAAATATCTACCTAGTCTGTATCTATTGTAAGGTTGTATCTTTGTGGGTTGTATGTTTGTCAAAGGATTTGTCTTTTGTTATATGTTACTGCAGTGTATCAAGCTCTACTATGTAGGAGGAACACCAGGAATGTACAGTGCTGACCTGTTGACCTTCTAGATATTGGTATTTAGGGTTACACAGATCTAACATTTCAGCACAGTGAGTTTTGCTATACAAATCTCACTTTATATCAGAGACCAGACAAATACCAAGTAATGGCCTCTTTAAAGGGCAGAAAAAGTATAATGTGAGATATATCAGATAAAATAGATAAAATAAAAAGTTAAAATATTTACAGTTAATACTACATGAACCATTGTGTCAACTGTTGATGAAGGAATGACATCGGCTCCGTCCTTGCACTCTAACCTGAGTGACATATGTCGATAAAGGTACAAACAATACATCAACTAATAAACTAATAAATTTTAATCTGGTGACCAGAAGTGGACTCTGCTATAATTCAATCACTAGATGTAATCTCTTGAGAAATGACAATGAATAAGTAAAGTACACGACAAAATTAAGAAACCACCCTTGTCTGACACAAACAAGACATGGTTTTTCGATAGTAATGTATTAGGTTTTTTTTATCTTGGTTGTGTTTTGGTCCTTAGGTTTGTGTTGTTTTGGCGACTGTTTCCCCGTGTTTTCAATAGTTTTGATAACGTTGTAATTGTTTTGTCAGTTCAAGTTTTAAGTGTGTGCTTTCTTTTCCACGTCAGTGCATAATAAAGACGTCTCCCATATACAGCCAGATTTTCCGGTTACGGATTCGAACCAAATCCAACGACAACTTGTATTTCAACATTTCCCTTGGTTAGTGACTATTCAAACTACAGCAATCAATCACCAAAACGAGTTGTGGATTTCTGCTCCGAAAATCAGCGACACCTTGACAGAAACATGCAAATATCAAATGACACATATACAGATGACTTGTCCGACATCTCAACGAAGTCACACATTGAGGCTTTTCGCGAACACCCGGTGTCCTCATTGATTCTGATTTCCATTTCATAGTATGTCTTTAATGCCTTAGGTTGTTTTCCAGTGCTGATGTTTTTCCAGATCTTCGTAGGGGCGGTGGGGTAGCCTAGTGGTTAAAGCGTTCGCTCGTTACGACGAAGATCCGGGTTTGATTCCCCACATGGGTACAATGTGTGAAGGCGTGATATTGCTGGAATATTGCTAAAAGCGACGTTAAACTAAACTCACTCACTCATATCTTCATGATTATTGTTACTGTTACTCTTGTACCGAGATACCAAACAAGATGTTGGTATTCCTGTTTAAAATATATTCAACAATCGTAAATACGTTAGTGTTGCCACAATATTAGCGACCCCTCAATACGGGATAAGATGGTAAAAACATATGATCTGTTTGACTGCGCGTCATTGTACCGAGACATCGCGGGTCGTTGCTCAAACTATCAACCACCGAGACTCGATTATTTATAGACCGTTGTTGTGTACACAGCTGGCATACGGCCGACTGAGACGTAGAATAACAATTTTCACTCTTTCCGAAGAAAACAACATTCTCATAATAGAATACATCAATATTATAAAATAATATTTACGAAAATATCAATCTATCTGATTTTTGAAGAAACATGCTAAAGACACAAAACAAAGAGGTATATGTAACTGCACATGTTGTTCTAATAAGCTTCTTCATAAACTTAGCTTAACCCAATGTCAGAATACAGACAGTTCAAAATATTTGCTGACATCCTTCTGGTGTTATTACAGCCATTTATAAGCTCTGTATTAATCACCCACGGAGACGTGTTTACATGAGACAAGATATAAATATAGCTCATACGCTAACACGAGATAACATAACTCATACTAGTTGAATAAATATACATCAATGTTTGTTTTCATTTGTCTCGCTGTCGACAGCGAAGGCAGTGTTTATACGGTGATGACCGACTCGCGCTCCTGTTTGTTTCCCCTTTACATATGCGTAAGCGCGTATTAATAAACACTGTGTTTGTATTCGACATCATCGGCAAATGCGAGCAGAGATAAGTTGCGCGTATTACTTCAGGGTTGTTTATAGATCACGGAATCGTTCAGGGGATGTCCCAATCGCTGAATATAGCTGTGTATTTTGTTTATATAAAGGTAGACGGATATGAAAGCAGTTAGAGCCCAATGTAGCCTTGTTGAGTTGTGGCTGTAGGGACAGTTTTGTTTACATTAACCTTGTGTATGTCGCATAGATCCATCGTTATTGTATTGTCTACGTAACGTCTGTAGCCATTGCGTAAGAATAGTTGAAGAGGAATTTGATCAACAGCCATGTACAGGTCGGCGATACCTCTTGCGGACTTCTATAGGAAGATGGGGTAAATATGTCCAGAAATCCATTTATCTGATCTTGAATGTGAGCGAGTGAGTGTGGTTAAAGGCGATTTGAAAAGTACTTACTTATTTGGCCTGTGAGAGGTGTGCTCGAAGTGATGCAGGTTTTAGACCTCTATGCTGAAACCATCGAGCGCGAGTATGATGCAAACAAACCCAGAAATATCATCTGGGCGAATCAGGGATTAGAGTGAGTGAGTGGGTTTGGTTTTACTCTGCTTTTAGCAATATTCCAGCAACATCACGGCGGGGGACACCAGAAATGGGCTTCACACATTGTACCCATGTGGGGAATGGAACCCGGGTCTTCGGGGTGACGAGCGAACGCTTGTTTAAACCACAAGGCTCTACTCAACCTCCCCGCGGCCCGTTAGACAACAATATCGCCCATGCCTCCTTCAGAACGAGGTATATTTTTATGTATGCGTGTGCGTGCGCGCGCCTTTATGCTAAAAATGACAAAAATGAGGCTCGGGTTGCCATATGATATGGTTTATCATTTGTCATTGGAACTCTTTGGCGTGTACCTTTAGGCTACTTTTAATTTCACTCACTGGGTCAGACCTGCTTAGTGCAGCTGAGTGTCGGTATCGTTAGGTGCAAAATACTCTAAATCTCAGGGAATTCGTAAAGTCCAGTCACCGTTCATAAAGATAGAATTCAACTTCGGGGCGGTGGGGTAGCCTAGTGGTTAAGGCGTTCGCTCGTAACGCCAAAGACCCGGATTCACAAATCTGTACACTGTGTAGTTTATTACAAGTTTTCATTTTTCCTAGTGCGGGGTGTAATTGGTCATGGGCCATGATGTGGGCATATATGATACTGTGTCAATGACTCTTTAACAGACGTGGGAAGAATTCCTATTCTAACATGAGTAGTATTTGTTGTATATATATGTTCAGAGGAGTCTAAGGTATACCTTCACTTGGTAAATATTCTTCCTGTGTTATTGCTGCAGGAAAAGAACTCAAAAGCACCACTTCACATCTGCACAGCCAGAGACTGGGTCCGTCAGGGAGAAGACACCCGAGAAGCAGACGACATTTGACAGAAGCAGACGACACATGCAGACAGGAAGTTTCTCGAGCGAGGAGAACGGATAACCTAATCCAAATAATCAAAAGAAACTCGAATGCATAATCTACTATTTCAATACGTAAACCGACTCCTCTTCAGGAAAATGAATATCTGTTTCATTGCTATCGGCTGTCAAACCATCATGACAGATGGGAACCACAAGCGTTTGTTTCCCAAGCATATGAATCTTCAGAGGTTCTTTTGCAGTATATTCCTCAGAGGCGATCAAAACCACGAATGCGACACGAATGCGAATGATACTGTTAACGTTGAGATGATTCCAGACGAACAGATTTGCATCCATACCCGCTGGCCTATGCATAAATACAGGCCGGTTCAGTAGGACGTCTTTCTTATTGCACTGTGACGATCCCGGGCCAGTCATCTGATTGAATGTAGCACGGATAGTGCTGTGCAAACCCTTCTCCTGGAGAGAAACAACGTCTTCATATCCCCAGGAGGGATGTTAGGATGAAACAGGGACAAATCGACAAAGAAGTGGACGATACAGTGCTTCAATTCACGTCTCAACACTTTTAATAGCTGAGAGATGTCCATGTTTTAAGTGTGCTATTGCAATTACCAAAAACACGTAATCGGTTACAACGGACAAGTAATCCAAGAACTACATAATCAGATTCCTAGTCTGTCTCAGAAACCCTCGAGAATACATTAAATAGGAGTCCTACTCAAGTCTAGAATGATTTGACAAGTCCAGATTTGATCATCCAAAAAGTAGGATTGTTCTGGGTTCCATTTGGATTTGTTTTGTAGATAAAGAAGTATATTCCTGGTATCAGACTATCCAGACTGTGGATATCACACCTGATCTCAACACAGCGCACCACCACTTGGTAGGACTTATCTTTACAAATGGTGCCGACATACACTACTGAAACTTTGATCAAGCAACGGCTGACACACTATTATAACAACAGGCCACTATCCCAGTATTACCAGAAGCTAAATAGAGGCACACACGTGAATTGAATTAGAATTGGCATTGTGCAATCTATGTTTGCCGTAAGAGACAAGTAACGGGATCGGATGGTCAGGATCGCCGACTTCGCTGATGCATGCCATCGTGTTCTGTGTCATATTTCGATGCTTATGTTGTCATTCACTGGATTATCTGGTCCACACTATTTATATGCATACTGCAGCCACATAGCTGTAACGACATCATCCCCAGACTCCAGCGTGGACAGGGCTCCATCTGTCGGCTGAGTTCGGATCACATACTTGCTCTTCTCCTGATGGTTGATTAAAATATGAACACAGCAAGACTGTAATTTCTTTGCAAATGTGTTAGTTTCGAAGCAGGCAAAGTAAATAACCCACAAAAACAAAGTTTTGTTGTTTGTGATTTCTTTGCATCATCTGTCTGACTCTCCTGGATATCATAAAAGGCTATCTGACTATCCAGGAATTCATTAACAGCTGGTAAGATTCAAATATATAATCTGCCTAACTATCAAGGATATCTGATAATATAACTGACAAAATCTAGAATCAGGATAATAATCTTTATTTTCATGTTGAATGTATGAAGATGTATTATGGTAGAAATGAGCAAAGGGATGAAGACAGTGCTGTACTGGAACAGTATCCTGCCAACTGATACAATCCGACTTGACCATCAATATTTTTCTCAACACTTGATAAAGTAATTCACAGTTTATTTGTCAGCACAGGTTTGAATGGTTTGAACATGATGTACAAAGACGGTAATAGCACCCATCAAATGAGCCACAGATATATGCATAATCCCCACTTTGCATTATTCTCCAGTCCATGGTAAATATCAGAGAATGGGCAGCATGTGAATCCTACCCATTCTGCATCTAGTTTGTCAAGACCAATGTTTGTTCTGTGGCATTTGTTTTCCCCCTACTGATTGGTCCTCTTCTGGACTAGTTCTCTTCCTGACTGATTCTCTTCTGGTCTGGTTCTCTTCCTGGCTGATTCTCTTCTGGGCTGGTTCTCTTCCTGACTGATTCTCTTCTGGGCTGGTTCTCTTTCTGATTGGTTCTTTTCTGGTCTGGTTCTCTTTCTGATTGGTTCTCTTCTGGACTGGTTCTCTTTCTGATTGGTTCTCTTCTGGACTGGTTCTCTTCCTGGCTGACTCTTTGGTCTCTTCTGGGCTGATTGGTTCTCTGGTCTGGTTCTCTTTCTGATTGGTTCTTTTCTGGTCTGGTTCTCTTCTGCACTCTTCTGAGGTTCTCTTTGGACTGGTTCTCTTTCTGATTCTTTCTGATTGGTCCTCTTTGGTCTGGTACATTCATCTCATTGTTAACTTCTTATATTTGTTTTCTTTACCCTGTTCTCTCAAATCAGGTTCTGTGGAATCTGTCTTCACATTTCACAGTATAAGATAGTTTGAATAACACCCAACTCAGCAATATTCCAGATATAAGAGGCGCCTATCCATACAAGTCATTCAAGTGATTGATTTAGTAAGCAATGATCTATGCAAGCCTGGTATGATGTCAACCATCAGCCAAGTCTCCCAGTATCTGACACATGGCCACAACTGGCAACCAACACAGCCTGCCAGTGTTCGATTCTAACCACCACAGGGGATTCAGTCAAAGCATATGCCCACACAATCCTCTGACAGGTTCCTCACACAATCCTCTGATCCTGGATGACAGCCACTACAAGGATATCACTATGGATGTGCTCTCCTCAAATTAGCAGGATCTTATAACAGTAGATTTGACCTCAAATCTTTGAATAATGAAACAAGCACTTGGTGTTAGGATCATTGCATGTCTGTCAATTGTCCATTCAGGAATGTATTCATTTTGATGACTTACAAACCGAAAATGTCAAACGGTAATCCAAATCCGAAGATTCCACACAGTTATCCATCTGTAGATGCAGCACCTCGGAGTGCCTGTGTTCTGTACTGTGACTGGGTGCATCATATCTGAATCATGCATCCAAATGATGAATCTCTCTCTGTTATGAATATGTCTCTATCGTTTTTCTAATCGTTTCTTCACGGATTTGGGCAGTTCCTTACTCCACAGACCATTCTCAATCTTGTACTCCCTGCTCTGGTGCTGAACGGCACCATGCTGGATCTGGAAGTCACACAGCGCCACAAGAGGGCGTGTCAGCGGCTGAAATATACATGACAATAGTGAGTGAGTGAGTATGGTTTCACGTGGCTTTTAGCAATACTCCAGCAATATTATGGCGGGGGACACCAGAAATGGGCTTCACCCATGTGGGGAATCGAACCTGGGTCTTCGGCATGACGAGCAGACGCTTTAACTATTAGGCTACCCCACCCCTGCATGACAATAAGAGAAACATGGCACCATTAGGCTCCCACAGACTGATTGTTGGTGAGACAATCATGAAGCATATAAGTTTATGGGCAACAACTTTTCTGTTTATTGCACAGAGTGACGTTTCAGTGTGGATTCTAACACCAATATATAGCTAGTCATGGTTAACTTAATATCTTTTCAGATTTAGGTTTATTACCAGTTTTCTTGTTCCCTGGTGTGAGGTGTAATTCTCTATGGGCCATGAACATCATAAACATGTTGTGGGCATCTAGGATAATGTGGCAATGAATCCTACCTTGGTAGAATCTATTCTATCTATTCGGTTGAATGGGTTACAATTATATAGATTTATATGGAAAGTCAAAACAGCATCATCAGTATGTTTCTAAGCACTTTAATTACTGGACTACCCAAAGTTTAAACTTAAAGATGTTACCAGTAAATACTGGGAATGACAAGTTGTTACAACTTCTAGAATGCCTCTCAAACAGTAATACTGGTTGTGATATTCATGATTTCAGGCTCTTCATCAGTTTTCCTGTCAGATTCCCTCACTTCTTTACATTGTTACAAAATACCATAGTTACTGGCCTCCACAAGGGTTGGTGGGGTAGCATAGTGGTTAAAGCATTCACTAATCATGCTGAAGACCCGAGTTCAGTTCCCCACATGGGTACAATGTGTGAAGCCCATTTCTGGTTTCCCTGCCATGATGTTGTTGGAATAAAAGCAGCATAAAAGTATTTAAGGTTGTCACTCAACCCCACAGGCCAAGAACTACCATGGTGTTCTGCAAACTGTCAAGTCAGGACCTGGCAAATCAGTGACTGAAAGCATGAACAACCATTCTATCAGGTCATGATGACCTACAATCTACCTATACACAATGAGCTTATTCACCCAATCCCTAGTTGGATCGTTATGGGGACCTATTCATCCCCAGACTCCCCATACAATCCCTGAAAATGAAGACTACACTCTTTACTGGAAGAAGGACCTTTTTAACATAATTTTTAAACGAACTGACTTTTACAATCTCAGGCCTCAGACTAAAATCAGACTGGCAAAGACTGGGGTCTCTTCCATAGGCTAGCATCAGTGTGAGTGAGTGAGTGAGTTGGGTTTTACGCTGCTTTTAGCAATATTCCAGCAATATCACGGCGGGAGAACACCAGAAATGGGCTTCACACATTGTACCCATGTCGGGAATCGAACCTGGGTCTTTGGCACGACGAGCAAACACTTTAATCACTAGGCTACCCCACCTCGCTGCATCAGTGTAAGCAAGCTGTACGCACCTCTACTATTTCGGGCCTGTTTTCCAGGACTGAGATGGCAACAGCCCCAGACTCCAGCGTGGACAGGGCTCCATCTGTCGGCTGAGTTCGGATCACATACTTGCTCTTCTCCTGATGGTTGATTTGTACCTGTATATATTGAACATTGAAGGTTATGTGTGCACTGGAGCAAGAGCTGCATATTTGTGGTAATTGGTTCATAAACGTCACATCATAGTCCTTGCCACCACAACCCCTGAATGTCCGGGTTAGAATATTGATCTTCAGTGACCCATGTTTGTCGTAAGAGGCAACTAACGGGATCGTGTGGTCAGGCTCGCTGACTTGGTTGACACATGTCATCGGTTCCCAAATTGCGCAGATCAATGCTCATGCTGTTGATCACGGGATTATCTGGTCCAGACTTGATTATTTACAGACTGCCGCCATATAGCTGGAATATTGCTGAGTGTGGCGTAAAACTAAACTCACTCAGTCCTTGCCACCACCAAACAAAGATCTGAGGTCATCCCATCACAGGTTATGTCACAACGACCTTAATAAAGTGAATAAAAGCATACCATATCAGGAAGTTATGTTTGGAAATGTTTTTTATTCATGCATGCTCAAAAAGGCTAACATGAGGTATTCTGAGCAGTTATGGACTGTATGACTGATTCTGTTAAAATCATGCTCTATTTTGCGCTTCAATGCAATAAACATCTGAATGGAACACTCTTTGTATAGCTCATGGGAAGTACTGCCATTTGACATTCCAGAATTCACTTTCGGTTAGTTTTCACATTTTAATTGATATTTTTCAAAACAAAGTCTCTGATGGAAGTCATTAGCTTGAAGATAAGTGCAAGATACTGCATTCTGGTTTGTACTCTGTCGATGGCTTAGTAGTCATTTCTTTGGTTGGTGAAAGTTTGCAAAAGATTGTTCTGACATGCCCTGTACATGGATATCCTCAGATCTTTCTTTAGTAGCAAGCAATAAGATCTGACTTTATACAGATAAATTGACAATACTAATCAACAAGAAACATATCTCTTAAACATCATGTCTAGAAGGAAGATGGTTTCCATGGTTACCTTCTTTGGCAACCGAATGTCATGGTTCTGACAGTACAGACCCTTGGCTTGGGCCCACGTTCCATCCAGCAGCACCAGGTTGTAGGCAATGTTGGTGGGAACATCTGAGATGTCAACAGCATCTGGACCTGGATACAGTACCAGTGTGTTGGGTGCCTGCAGGACCTTCATCAGCTCGGGGAACCTGTCATGATTTTATATTTGGTAATTTTGAAAGTTGTTAAAAGAGCAAATTTACAATAATTTGGAAACAAATTACAACTTCAACATTTTTGTGTTTTAAACAAAGATTAAAAGATGTTCTCCTGAACTGGTAAATGTAGAAATATGCAACCAAGGCCTAAATATCTTAAACTGAAAACTTTCATGAAAGAAATGTGAGCATGACCCACAATAAATCAAACCACAGTTCATTTCAAACTACTTACATAGAATAGCAACCATAGTACTGTAATTCTATTTCTGGAGAAAATCTACAAATCCTTCCAAATTCTGCTTTTATCCTGTTTTTCGTCTGAAAGAAACTGACACATATGGTAGTGCATACTTCACAGCTGGCCCTTACTGTTGGTTACCATGGTAACGATGTACTCCCTATTTGGTCAGTATTGAGACACCAAGTTGCAATATACATACATAAAGTTTTAATGATTACTTACTTGTGTTTAGGAAATCTCTTTCCCTTGTAAACATGACAAGTACCTTCCTTCAAGCCGTTACAGAGCATAGGCGCTGTTTTGAGACAACGTGACTCCTGCAAATAGCATATTACATATTGATACTGTAAGAAGATAATTATACATATTATCACAGAAAACTAAACACTATTATTCGTTTTAGAGAAATTGTCATAAACTAATTACTTACACGTACTGGTATCAATGCTATTCGCCGTATACATCATGATAATAAACAGAGTATTTACAGTTGTCATAACATGCCAAGTGTTACCTCAAATGGATGTTGGAGAATATAAACGCTTGTTCTTATCTCTAGTCGTTCGTGGGGCAGGTAGGGACACCAACAAACACTCAGGGGACGCCTGTAAACAGAAACACAGATTACATCAGCGTTTTCATGAGTGCGCGAAAACTGTACGAGCTCAATGGTAAATGTTTACATCATAATACACCGACCTGCACCGTGTACATAGGCTTCTCCGCTTGATGATTGGTCCGTCGTGTTTTGTTTCGTTGGCGAAGTCAAACAATTGATCCATGAAACATTCCTCAGATCGTTCGTTTTCGCCTAAAGCTTGTGCCATGTCCCCATGTTCTTCCTCGGCACCCATCGTTCTGTCAAGCTCCCTACAGTGTAGTCTAAGGGAGATAACTCTATTTTACTACAACACGTCGACAAACCACTAAAACAATTGTATTTGCCTAACACCATTTTACTATCCACCACATCAGCACATACAAATGCCCCTGTTCATAACTATTTTCCCAACAATCTAACTTAGGTTTACGACATAAGTAAATTTTAGGACCGGAATTACCGATTAAGTTCTATTTTGTTCGTCATCAACATTAATTGCCAGACTGAAAAAAAAAAAGAAAAAAATTTCACGGAACAAGGAACCTGGTAAAAAATTCAAGAACGCCAGTAGAATTAATTTAATTTAGTTTGGGGAATAGGATTATTTATAAACTATTAGTGGTGTGACGATTCATTGATACGCATCGATGCATCGATCAAAGGGCCGTCGATACAGTGAATCGAATGAAAGTTTTACATTGTCGTATATCCCGATACGATACTTCAAATGGGCCACAATACATCAATGTTTAACTTTGAATATTGCCGAATCGCGATATCTGTCAAGAAAAAGACTTACTCGTTTTCTCGGAAATTCTTGCGTCAATAACTGTGTCAGACATAGCGCTCGCATGTTATTAACATTCACGAAGTCCGTGTATAAACTTAATTATCTCGTTTCCGAATGAACCTTGAAAATTGATGGCGGCATTTGAAGAAGTACTTTAAAATGGTTTTGTTTTGATCTTAAGGTGTTTTACAGTTGGTATTAGAATTAAAGATTTTAGTATCGTGATACGTATCGTATCGCCACCCTTATATCGGGATTCGTATCGCAGTGTCAGTGCACAATACTTTGGCAATATATCGTCGTGATTATAATTTTAGTATCGTGATGTATCGTATCGCAGGTTGTAAGCCAATACCAGCACTATAAACTATCCCATGACAAACAACGCGATCTTATGGATTCGATGTTTAGCACTTTGAGCTATATTTCAGAAATCACTAGCACTTGCTATTTGCCAAGATTGAACATTTGATTTGAACACATGGGAACTGTTGATATTCAACAGCAAAAAATAAATTAATGCTAATTCATTATTTATATAGTTACAATTGTCCGACAATATCTCCATTTAAACGGACCTAGACAGGAATACGAGGACCTCTCTTTTCTGACATTTTACCATGATTTGGAATAACTTTCCTTGAGATTTCTGTTATTGTGTGACATTTATGTATATATCATTTTGGTGTGATTGTATGCCATCATACTCTGGCGATTCGAACCGTTGCTGACCCGTGAAGGTCCGGGTTAGAATGTGCCTTCAGTAACCCATGCTTGTCGTAAGAGGTGACTAACGGGATCGGGTGGTCAGGCTCGCTGACTTGGTTGACATATGTCATCGGTTCCCAATTGCGCAGATCGATGCTCATGCTGTTGATCACTGGATTGTCTGGTCCAGACTCGATTATTTACAGACTGCTGACCGCTACGTACAGTTTTCATCATTCACCCAGAGGTGTTGATAATGGATGGGGATCACTGGGGAATTTCTGTAAAAACCTGAATTGCACGTATCTGATGAAACGTTTGCCGGAGCGTTCTTTCCACTGAGTCTAAGCAAGGGAAACCTTTTTACGGTACCGGCTCAAGATATTTGTTGTTTTATCTAGGTTATCTGCCCCACTTTAAGCCTTCCAACAACAAATAAAACCACGTTGTTGTTTAACATTTACGGCAGTGCGTATTCCTTGTTGAAACTGCCTGGAAAAGAAAGACTACACTTGAAAATTGGATTTGAACAAAACCTTAACAACTTGAGCAAAACGTCCAATGATAAAAGAGGCATTAAATACTGCGCCATTGTATAGCATTTTATTTTGCCACCATTAAACATGGAAGTATACATTCTTTTTCCCCGGCAGTTCACATATGACACAGAATTGGATAAACAGCAAACAACCTTGTGTAGAAACGACGAGCACTTTGCAATTACAGGAACACAGATGAAGGCTAACACCAGGTTTCAGGCTAACACCAGGAGGGTCGACTTACTAATCATATGACATTAACATTGAATTATTAATGTATAAGCGATTTAGCATATAGGTATACGATAGCTTCAGAAGCATAGCTGAAACGTGGCCTGGCTGTCTTTGTATGAACTTGTACACATATACACATATATCACACATGTTTACACGTTTAGTCACAGGTTTCCGTATGAAGTACGCTCGAGTCTAACTTAAGACTCCTGCCACTATATGGATCCTTCGCACATAATTTCACTTGGAGACACCCCATGGACACTTCTCACATGATTTTAAGACACTCATGGATGCCCCTCAAATAATTTCACTTGAAGACACCCCATGGACGCTCCTCGAAAGGTGCGATTGTTGATCATACTGTCCACCGTGTTTATCCTGGCTCTCTGGGTCGACTACCTTAATGCAATAGTGATATACCTGGAACACTGCCAAATTTAACAAACACCTGATTGCGATAACGGGTGTTATGTACATTTGAAACAACGTGTATTTACATACATTTAGATTTGTCAAGGCGGAATCAACGGTGCATTCCAAAAACAGACAATATATGCGTTAGATATTACCGTTATAATTTACAGACGTGCTTTAAAGCTTTACCTGAGGCTGGGAGGCAAGCTATTGTTTACGTGTTATAAGCCCAATCAATTGAAAAAATCATTGTCTTATTCCCACGTGTAATCTATTCAATGATCATTTCCTGAACACCACCCCGGAACTGTTTGCATGACAGTGGGCTTCACTACCAGGTTACTATAATACAACAAGAGAAATAACACTGCTGAAATTCAATATACGTGTGTTCAATACTCGCTTTAGAAAACGTCTCCTGAGGACAAATTCAAATACATTCCCTTCCTCAATAAGTGTTTTTATCTGCTATCAGACACCAATATCACAGAATACGGTCGTAATAATTTCCTGCTTTAGCTTTGATGAAGGTACCGATGACGGTACGGGAGATGGACCGACCTGAATTGGTTGCCATAGTTCTCGTTCACGTATTCGATTCATGTCCCCACGCAATATTTATCATCATTGTCGCGGTTATGTTATAGAGAGGCGTTTTCATTTACCGATCTTATGTAGACATTTGTACAGATGGTGTAGCTGTTGCTGCTGCTGCTGACGCACTATTGAAACTTATACCGGAAGTAATTACCATCTGTGGATTATATGTCAATACAGTCATTTCTTTGGTAACAGGTACTTTGAATCCCATGCCGGTAGACGGTTTTAACGACGAGACTGGAAGTTCACGATTCCTCGACTGGGTGGGAGTGAATGAGTTTAGTGTAAGCTCCTTATGTTTTTGTTACATATTGCCTATCAGTCTACTGTGGAAATACAGCACAGGTAATGTAGGTCCATGGTTTAGCGAAACACGTGAGCACATGCCGATAGAACAAGGACTGACTGACTGAGTATGGTTTTACGCCGTTTTTAGCAATATTCCAGCAATATCACGGCGGGGGACACCAGAAATGGGCTTCACAAGTTGTACCCATGCACCCGGGCCTTCGGCGTGACGAGCGAACGCTTTAACCACAAGGCTACCCCACAGCCCCGATAGAACAAGGAGCACTCTCGGAACCACTCTTGGATTAGAACCCGAAAAGATCGAACACTCTAACCTACATAATAGACCCCATACTAACATTTAGTAGAAACAAACTAACTTATTTAAATAAATGCGCAAAGAAAGTGATTCAGTCAGTGAGTTTGGGGTTACACTACTTTCCAGCCAGGGGGAGACCAGAAATAGGCTTCACATATTGCACAAAGAAAGAGGTAACATCTAAATGTAGAACAATGCACTATTTTAGAAACTTGGGGAATCTAGACTTGTCACATTATTCTTGACTTTAGAATAATCTCAACTTTACAGAAATGAATGAATAAGCAAAGCCTTGTCCTCTTTGATGATTGAAATCTCAACGGCAGTTGCGCCAGTGACTTCAAAGTTGAGTCATTTGATTCTTCCACAGTTATACATTTATATAGCTAGAATATTTTGAGTATCGATACGAAGTTAAACAACAAACATACGTCATGTGACTCTTCCACAGTTACGTCATGTGACACTTTCAGTTACGTCATGTGACACGTTCATATAGCTGGAATATTGTGAGTGCAAACAATAACATACGTCATCTTACGCTTTGACCGTCTACTATTCACAGAGAGTATTTCATACAAGAAGACAATACATATCCTGTGCTGACTACTGACGTTTTCTCTGACGATGCCACATCACACAAGCATGCGTGAAAATGAAACAATGACGTCGGTGGTTATATTCATCATGGCGATACTAAGGATTATATCACTCGTGGTAGGAATAGCCGATAGCAAACAGAAATAAAATATAAAATATAAAAGTAACAATATTCATGACGTTGATGACAGCACAGACGATTGCCACTGATTTGTATTTGTTTTTGTTTGTTTGTTTTTTGTGATTACACATTCAGGAAGAATCTAGCCTTTTGGCAGCATGTCAATGATCGAGTCTTGACCAGAGAAACGAAATTATAAGCATGGACACCCTGGAGTTAGGTTTTACTCCGCTTTTAGCAATATTCCAGCAATGTCAGCAATGACACCAGAAATGGGTTTCACATAGTATAACCATGTGGAAAATCGAACCCTGACCTTTGGTGTGACGGGCAAACGCTTTGTCCACTGGACTACCCCCACCGCCTCGATCCCCGCTTTGGGTAACGTTGACACGCTATCGAGTCACAGAGCTTAGAGGATGCCAGCCACCTTTTGCTCGATGTCAATACTGGCGCAGTACGATGGATGCCATGACATGACAGTAGATGGATGCCAATGTGCTGCAGCATATTCTTCTCTTTTTTTAAAAAAGATTGAAAAATCGGTAAATATTTAGCTCTAAGCTAATGAGCGTCCATGGCCATGCGTATTACGTAAAACTCTCTGTGTAATTCACTTTTACCAGCTGTGTACACGGATATGACCAC